ATGTTCCTGTTGAGGTCCTGACAGTCTACTAGAGCTCCTGGCGGCCTCACGCTCACCATATTGTCATATTTATGTTCCTGTTGAGGTCCTGACAGTCTACTAGAGCCCCTGGCGAGCCTCACATTCACCATATTGTCATATTTATGTTCCTGTTGAGGTCCTGGCAGTCTACTAGAGCCCCTGGCCGCCTCACACTCACCATATTGTCATATTTATGTTCCTGTTGGGGTCCTGGCAGTCTACTAGAGCCCCTGGCCGCCTCACACTCACCATATTGTCATATTTATGTTCCTGTTGAGGTCCTGACAGTCTACTAGAGCTCCTGGCCGCCTCACACTCACCATATTGTCATATTTATGTTCCTGTTGAGGTCCTGGGAGTCTACTAGAGCTCCTGGCCGCCTCACGCTCACCATATTGTCATATTTATGTTCCTGTTGAGGTCCCGGGAGTCTACTAGAGCTCCTGGCCGCCTCACGCTCACCATATTGTCATATTTATGTTCCTGTTGAGGTCCTGGCAGTCTACTAGAGCAGCGGGGTCATATGAATCCTTCACCACACTTTCAGTTATATTTTTATACACATAATGTAAGATAAACGAGCTTATATATCAATTAAAACAAGCAGTTAATTTATTAATTATACGTATTTTGAATATTTTGTTTGTTTTTAAGTGAAATATTAGTCAATTTAGCCAGTTTTTTAAAATTAATGATTCGAAGCCTCATAAATGTTACATATAAACAATCTAAAGTTAAGGCGTAGCCTCATATATTTATCTAAAATTCAAATTACCATAATAATATATATTGCGGGTTTACGCAAAGTTAAAGATTGGTTTAGCCTCTTAGTTACGTTGATTTATGGTGATGATTCACTACTGTGGTGAATTATTATTATGGTGAATTCATAATTGTGAACTATTTAGTTCGTGGTTACTATATAGGCTGAAAATGAATGAGACTTTAGGTTATGTAAACTAAGAAGCTTACGGATTGTATATGGGACTTCCACACACGTGAACTTTGCTTAGTTTTCCTGATTAGATGTTTTATGAAGGAGCCCAGTGGGAATCCCCTCATATATATCTCTCTCTCTCTCTCTCTCTCTCTCTCTCTCTCTCTCTCTCTCTCTCTCTCTCTCTCTCTCTCTCTCTCTCTCTCTCTCTCTCTCTCTCTCTCTCTCTCTCTCTCTCTCTCTCTCTCTCTCTCTCTCTCTCTCTCTCTCTCTCTCTCTCTCTCTCTCTCTCTCTCTCTCTCTCTCTCTCTCTCTCTCTCTCTCTCTCTCTCTCTCTCTCTCCTCTCTCTCTCTCTCTCTCTCTCTCTCTCTCTCTCTCTCTCTCTCTCTCTCTCTCTCTCTCTCTCTCTCTCTCTCTCTCTCTCTCTCTCTCTCTCTCTCTCTCTCTCTCTCTCTCTCTCTCTCTCTCTCTCTCTCTCTCTCTCTCTCTCTCTCTCTCTCTCTCTCTCTCTCTCTCTCTCTCTCTCTCTCTCTCTCTCTCTCTCTCTCTCTCCCTCTCATTAATTTTTCTCGTTCGCCTATTTTGAGTCTCGGTAGTACAGTTGAGTTCGTTCTCGAATCACGGACGGGACAGAAGTGGTTGGGCAAGTTTCTTATCACCTAATGGACCCGGTCACCTAGCAGTAACTAGGTACTCGGCAGTTAAAAAACTGTTGTGGGGTTGCATCCTAGGAGGGTCAGTAATTTGATCTTTAACTCGATATAAGCCTAACATATTTGTATACACAGGCTACCTGTCCCCAATAAAATGAGTTAGTATTCACTTAAAAATAAATCACTGGCAATACCTTTCAGATAGCAAGATGAACAAGGACAATTTAATAATTAATAATTCAGTTTTGACAGGAAATAGCTATGGTGAATGGGAGAGGATCCCCCACGCTGGACGGCTCATATTCCTGTCTGGAAAATGTGTTGACGGGTCTCAACGTGAATTCCCAGCTTGATAATAGACAGAACACGGACAGCAAAAATCTGCCTAATGCGTGCTGCTAGGGGGAGGCAAATGGCCATCAACAGGACAATGGTACGGGAACATTTTCCCGCTCCAGCGGAATTTTCATTAGTCAGCGTTGGAGGACAATTTTCCCGAGTGTTTCATTGTTTAGCTCAACTCGCATTTTTGTTTTGTTTTTCACCCCGTGGTAAAGAGCTTCAAAACTCTGACCGCCTTCGCGCCTTCCCAGAGAAAAATTGTTTGGTAAATAGTTCCCCCCAACTTCATCCTCAGCTGCAGCTGGAGCTGAGCTGTTGACGCTGGCCGCACTCTGCCGGATATACTGTATTTCATAACAACGTCAGCCATTGGTCTTCACAGAGCACAGCTGGTCGCCCGGCCTTGCCGCCTCCCACAGAAAATGGGAATTGTTGATGGGTGATTCCCGCCAAATTTTGTCCCAAGCCCTGAAAGGACTTCAAACAGATTATTTGATAAACAAATGGTAGTTTATGATACATATAATGGAACAATGGTAGTTGACGGATCATGTGATGCTGTAATGGTAGTGCACGGATTAAAGGACAAGATAATGGTAGTTTACAAATAATGTGACGAGCTAATGGTAGCTTAAAATTCCACAACAGGGTAATGGTAGTGGCAGACTCAATTAAAGTCTTGAACGAAGACCTTCGTGTCCTACATTCCTAAATGCAACATTCCTACACGATGCTATAATTGCATATTTTGTTGTTTTTGTAAATGATAATGCCAAGCAATTTGCACCTTGCAACACGTGAAGCTCTAGACCAGGTGTCATATACCTGTGGACCACATGTTACTCGGTGAAAACAGGTGTCATTTGCTGATATCTTACTCGGTAAAAACAGGTGGCATGTGCTGATATCTTACTCGGTAAAAACAGGTGTCATATGCTGATATCTTACTCGGTAAAAACAGGTGTCATGTGCTGATATCTTACTCGGTAAAAACAGGTGTCATGTGCTGATATCTTACTCGGTAAAAACAGGTGTCATGTGCTGATATCTTACTCGGTAAAAACAGGTGTCATGTGCTGATATCTTACTCGGTAAAAACAGGTGTCATATAGAGGTCTGTTGGACTGTGGACACATAGAACCACATCACTTTAGAGCAGCTGTCACTCAGGGCTGAGTAAGGAGGCCTCTTTAGTAAACACTTGGAGTAGCTCCCCAAGTCCGCCCTGATGGCCGTGTTTACAAATACACGTCACTATGCCCGACCCCCCTTTCCCCTCCCGGTGTCCTATTTTCCAATTTGTTACGTGTGTACTGTTGATCAGAAAGTCCTTGTTGACACGGGTCTAAAACCTGAAGTATAGTGTACGTTGACCAGACCACACACTAGAAAGTGAAGAGACGACGACGTTTCGGTCCGTCCTGGACCATTCTCAAGCAGATTACCAACATACCTATCTACTGTAGGTATGTTGACGACATGCTCATGCTGGTAGGCTGATGTAGGTAGGCTGATGTAGCTGATGTAGGTAGGCTGATGTAGCTGATGTAGGTAGGCTGATGTAGGTAGGCTCATGTAGCTGATGTAGGTAGGCTGATGTAGCTGATGTAGGTAGGCTGATGTAGCTGATGTAGGTAGGCTGATGTAGGTAGGCTCATGTAGCTGATGTAGGTAGGCTGATGTAGCTGATGTAGGTAGGCTGATGGTAGCTGATGTAGGTAGGCTCATGTAGCTGATGGTAGCTGATGTAGGTAGGCTGATGTAGCTGATGTAGGTAGGCTGATGTAGCTGATGTAGGTAGGCTCATGTAGGTAGGTTCATATATTTAAGGACGCTTTCAAGCGAAGCTTCGTGCTAAGTTTCAGCTACGAGATAGTGAAGGTTAGCTGTCCTTCCTACATGTAACAGTCTGGGAAGGGAATGGCGGCTTTCACGCACTAACCTACACGAAGGGACCCAACACAGGTATGGACCTTACAGGTACAAGCTAGGTGACGTGGAGGCCTATGCTGCCCGCGCCCTCACAGCTCCAGTGGGAAGCAGGTGGGCCAGGTAGAGTAAGGCGAGTCCTAATCAATAACATATACTCTAATGGATATGTCGAGGAGAGCATTAAAGTGAAGGTGAGTCTCCACGCTACGTCTGATGAAATGGTCAGTATATTATCAACCCAATCTTATTAACATTGACTAAAGGAACTTCGTTTCCACGGCTCATAAAACACAGGAAAGAAATACAATGACAATATTGACGGAAGCGTCCACCCCCCTCCCCCCTCCCCCCCCTCACCGTTACCAACCAGAAGATCGTTAACAATATACTATAAGAACAAGGGGACCGACAATGTACTCGTGAAGAACCCTGCCGGCACCAAGCGAAACGTCTTGAAAAAGACGAATGTCGTCTGTGTCTTCACATGCCCAGTGGTGACTGTCACCCCTAACGATCTCAGTGTGTAGGCAAGACAACATATCTTTGAAGGCGACTAACAATGCACAAACAACAAAGCCCCATCAAGGAACATACAGCCTCTACACTCATCCAGATCATCACCAGAGACATCCTGACAAGCAGCGATGACACAGACAGCGACGAAGGAAGTGGACATCATCGTATGGTGAAAAATTAACAACATAAGACATATAGAGAAAATCCGTGCTAGACTCATCTCAGACCTTTTTAACATATTCATTAACAGATGTCTACGAGAAACATAACATAAGAGCCACAGTTCCTGGAGAGAAGGTTGGGCCGAGAGTGAACATGGAGAACACTGGGAAGGAACAGAGAAAGATCTTCAACTACTGAACACTACCCAGCCAAGTGGCTGGCAAGAACTCCAACCTCAACATCTAAGCCTCATTTGCATAATATTTGCATATATAGCACTAATTACCATAACTTCCCCAACTTTGTCATTTACACCAAATTTCCGGAAGTACCTCCCGGGAGTCCCATTTACACTTACATTTACAGAAAACAAATATGTTCGTATTTTTATAAGATTTCCCTTTGTCTGTCTTAGAGTGCCCACCTCTCGTAGTAATTATTTCTCCTCAAGCTTCTTCTTTATCATGTTCACCTTGGTCATGTTCACCTTGGTCATGTTCTCCTTGGTCATGTTCACCTTTGTCATGTTCACCTTGGTCATGTTCACCTTGGTCATGTTCACCTTGGTCATGTTCACCTTGGTCATGTTCACCTTGGTCATGTTCTCCTTGGTCATGTTCATCTTGGTCATGTTCACCTTGGTCATGTTCACCTTGGTCATGTTCACCTTGGTCATGTTCACCATGGTCATGTTCACCTTGGTCATGTTCACCTTGGTCATGTTCACCTTAGTCATGTTCACCTCGGTCATGTTCACCTTGGTCATGTTTATCTTGGTCATGTTCACCTTGGTCATGTTTATCTTGGTCATGTTCACCTTGGTCATGTTCACCTCGGTCATGTTCACCTTGGTCATGTTTATCTTGGTCATGTTCACCTTGGTCATGTTTATCTTGGTCATGTTCACCTTGGTCATGTTCACCTTGGTAATGTTCACCTTGGTCATGTTCACCTTGGTCATGTTCACCTTGGTCATGTTCACCTTGGTCATGTTCTCCTTGGTCATGTTCTCCTTGGTCATGTTCTCCTTGGTCATGTTCACCTTGGTCATGTTCACAATGGTCATGTTCACCTTGGTCATGTTCACCTTGGTCATGTTCACCTTGGTCATGTTCACCATGGTCATGTTCACCTTGGTCATGTTCACCATGGTCATGTTCACCATGGTCATGTTCACCATGGTCATGTTCACCTTGGTCATGTTCACCTTGGTCATGTTCACCATGGTCATGTTCACCTTGGTCATGTTCATCTTGGTCATGTTCACCTTGGTCATGTTCATCTTGGTCATGTTCACCTTGGTCATGTCACATACACCTTCACCTTAGCTCTCAGTAATCACCATGATCATCTTCACTGTTCGTGTCGTCCTCTGGCACTAGACAGACTCGAATAAAGTTAAAATAGGATTGAAAGTTCTTAAAAATTCCTCTTCAGAGCATTAGGAAACTGAATCCGAATTTCTTGATAGTGAGAGCCAGTCAGGACGGCTATTGTAGGACGGCTATTGTCAGCTATTGTAGGACGACTATTGTCTGCTATTGTAGGACGACTATTGTCTGCTATTGTAGGACGACTATTGTCTGCTATTGTAGGACGACTATTGTCTGCTATTGTAGGACGACTATTGTCTGCTATTGTAGGACGACTATTGTCTGCTATTGTAGGACGACTATTGTCAGCTATTGTAGGACCACTATTGTCAGCTATTGTAGGACGACTATTGTCAGCTATTGTAGGACCACTATTGTCAGCTATTGTAGGACGACTATTGTCAGCTATTGTAGGACGACTATTGTCAGCTATTGTAGGACCACTATTGTCAGCTATTGTAGGACGACTATTGTCAGCTATTGTAGGACCACTATTGTCAGCTATTGTAGGACCACTATTGTCAGCTATTGTAGGACGACTATTGTCTGCTATTGTAGGACCACTATTGTCAGCTATTGTAGGACCACTATTGTCAGCTATTGTAGGACCACTATTGTCTGCTATTGTAGGACCACTATTGTCAGCTATTGTAGGACCACTATTGTCAGCTATTGTAGGACGACTATTGTCAGCTATTGTAGGACGACTATTGTCAGCTATTGTAGGACCACTATTGTCAGCTATTGTAGGACCACTATTGTCAGCTATTGTAGGACGACTATTGTCTGCTATTGTAGGACCACTATTGTCAGCTATTGTAGGACCACTATTGTCTGCTATTGTAGGACCACTATTGTCTGCTATTGTAGGACCACTATTGTCAGCTATTGTAGGACCACTATTGTCTGCTATTGTAGGACCACTATTGTCTGCTATTGTAGGACTACTATTGTCAGCTATTGTAGGACCACTATTGTCTGCTATTGTAGGACCACTATTGTCAGCTATAGTCAGACTGGAGACATACATTAGGTACCTGTCTGGTGTCTTATCTCAACTCCTATAATGTCTAGAGTCTGTAATCCGGTCAGAAAATCAGTAGTAACCATAAGGAGGATTCGAACCCGAGCACATGGTACTACCAAGCGCTCCCCCTGACCCTCCTCACACATCCTTCCACTGGTATATGATGTATATAATGTTAGTGTGATTTCATTGTGTGATGTTCATTATATTAAAAAGTTAAAAGGTCTGTCATTATTTGTCCTGTCAGTTCAGCTGAGAATTTTGTATGTGGTAACCATGTCTCCTTCTTCTGTCTTCCAGGGACTTGTGGTACAATTCGTGTAGCCTTCCTTCGTAACTCACACTCGTTTTTCTGTGCCTTAGCCTGGTGGCACACCTTTGTCTGGCTGCCTCTCTTCTTCTGTGTGGGAGCAGCAGCCACAATAGCAACCACAGCTGCAGAGGAACCACTGCCTCGGGGCATGAGAGAGGAACTGAAATGTGGCGCGAGGCTATGTGGGCATGTTTGTCATGCCCTCGGGGTAGTGTGTATTAAGGGGTCACACTTGGGAAAGTGGGTATCAATAGATGATAAATTATGGAGGTAATATTTCTGTGTTAATTTATATCATGGATATTACAAGGAAAGTACGTTAGATTTTTTTAATTTTACAGATATCTGTGTGTAATGTTATACACCGGTGCAAGAAAGATAAGAACTCTCAAAAATAATTCACACTCCAATATTTCGAGGGTGTAGCCTTAGGCACCATATCAAGTGACACGCATTTATATCAACACTAACCCAGAAATGTGTGGCATGTACCCAAAAGCAATTACTGTTAAGAATTTGGTGAGGCTAGCCCCAAGCCTCCAACCTCTAATAGACTATCCAGTTTAAAGATATAGAGTCATTACAAACTGTTTTCTATAATTTAACTGAATTTGTTGAATTAGCGAGTTAATTTATTACGCTCTCGTTCAGTGGGTTGTTGTTGTTGGTTGTTAGTGGGTTGTTGTGGTTGTTAGTGGGTTGTTGTGGTTGTTAGTTAGTGGGTTGTTAGTGGGTTGTTGTGGTTGTTAGTGGGTTGTTAGTGGGTTGTTGTGGTTGTTAGTTAGTGGGTTGTTAGTGGGTTGTTGTGGTTGTTAGTTAGTGGGTTGTTAGTGGGTTGTTGTGGTTGTTAGTGGGTTGTTGTGGTTGTTAGTGGGTTGTTAGTGGGTTGTTGTGGTTGTTAGTTAGTGGGTTGTTAGTGGGTTGTTGTGGTTGTTAGTTAGTGGGTTGTTAGTGGGTTGTTGTGGTTGTTAGTGGGTTGTTGTGGTTGTTAGTGGGTTGTTAGTGGGTTGTTGTGGTTGTTAGTTAGTGGGTTGTTAGTGGGTTGTTGTGGTTGTTAGTTAGTGGGTTGTTAGTGGGTTGTTGTGGTTGTTAGTGGGTTGTTAGTGGATTGTTGTGGTTGTTAGTGGGTTGTTGTGGTTGTTATGGGTTGTTGTGGTTGTTAGTGGGTTGTGGTTGTTAGTGGGTTGTTGTGGTTGTTATGGGTTGTTGTGGTTGTTAGTGGGTTGTTAGTGGGTTGTTGTGGTTGTTAGTTAGTGGGTTGTTGTAGTTGTTAGTGGGTTGTTGTGGTTGTTATGGGTTGTTGTGGTTGTTAGTGGGTTGTGGTTGTTAGTGGGTTGTTGTGGTTGTTAGTGGGTTGTTGTGGTTGTTAGTGGGTTGTTGTGGTTGTTAGTGGGTTGTTGTGGTTGTTAGTGAGTTGTTGTGGTTGTTAGAGGGTTGTTGGGGTAGTTAGAGAGTTGTTGTGGTTGTTAGTGGGTTGTTGTGGTTGTTAGTGGGTTGTTGTGGTTGTTAGTGGGTTGTTGTGGTTGTTAGTGGGTTGTTGTGGTTGTTAGTGGGTTGTTGTGGTTGTTAGTGGGTTGTTGTGGTTGTTAGTGGGTTGTTGTGGTTGTTAGTGGGTTGTTGTGGTTGTTAGTGGGTTGTTGTGGTTGTTAGTGGGTTGTTAGTGGGTTGTTGTGGTTGTTAGTGGGTTGTTGTGGTTGTTAGTGGGTTGTTGTGGTTGTTAGTGGGTTGTTGTGGTTGTTAGTAGGTTGTTGTGGTTGTTAGTGGGTTGTTATGACTGATTGTTAGAGAGATATTTTGATAAAAGAAGGTTTTATATACGATAAATAGTTCATTTGTTTTTCAAAATATGAATTAATGACCACTTCACTCAGTCAACTTTATCCCTTCATATAGTAATTAATTTACAGCGATACTTATAATGAGATAAATTGTGACTCATTGTTGTATGTTGTGACTCATTGTTGTATGTTGTGACTCATTGTTGTATGTTGTGACTCATTGTGTTGTGACTCATTGTGTTGTGACTCATTGTTGTATGTTGTGACTCATTGTTGTGTTGTGACTCATGTTGTGTTGTGACTCATTGTTGTGTTGTGACTCATTGATGTGTTGTGACTCATTGTTGTGTTGTGACTCATTGTGTTGTGACTCATTGTGTTGTGACTCATTGTTGTGTTGTGACTCATTGTTGTGTTGTGACTCATTGTTGTGTTGTGACTCATTGTTGTGTTGTGACTCATTGTTGTGTTGTGACTCATTGTGTTGTGACTCATTGTTGTGTTGTGACTCATTGATGTGTTGTGACTCATTGTTGTGTTGTGACTCATTGTGTTGTGACTCATTGTGTTGTGACTCATTGTTGTGTTGTGACTCATTGTTGTGTTGTGACTCATTGTTGTGTTGTGACTCATTGTTGTGTTGTGACTCATTGTGTTGTGACTCATTGTTGTGTTGTGACTCATTGTTGTGTTGTGACTCATTGTTGTGTTGTGACTCATTGTTGTGTTGTGACTCATTGTTGTGTTGTGACTCATTGTTGTGTTGTGACTCATTGTGTTGTGACTCATTGTTGTGTTGTGACTCATTGATGTGTTGTGACTCATTGTTGTGTTGTGACTCATTGTGTTGTGACTCATTGTGTTGTGACTCATTGTTGTGTTGTGACTCATTGTTGTGTTGTGACTCATTATTGTGTTGTGACTCATTGTTGTGTTGTGACTCATTGTGTTGTGACTCATTGTTGTGTTGTGACTCATTGATGTGTTGTGACTCATTGTTGTGTTGTGACTCATTGTTGTGTTGTGACTCATTGTGTTGTGACTCATTGTGTTGTGACTCATTGTTGTGTTGTGACTCATTGATGTGTTGTGACTCATTGTTGTGTTGTGACTCATTGTGTTGTGACTCATTGTTGTGTTGTGACTCATTGTTGTGTTGTGACTCATTGATATGTTGTGACTCATTGATGTGTTGTGACTCATTGTTGTGTTGTGACTCATTGATGTGTTGTGACTCATTGTTGTGACTCATTGATGTGTTGTGACTCATTGATGTGTTGTGACTCATTGATGTATGTTGTGCAAGCGAATTGTTGCAAGCCTGGTCTTAACCCACACCTTGCAAGCCTGGTCTTAACCCACACCTTGCAAGCCTGGTCTTAACCTACACCTTGCAAGCCTGGTCTTAACCCACACCTTGCAAGCCTGGTCTTAACCCACACCTTGCAAGCCTGGTCTTAACCCACACCTTGCAAGCCTGGTCTTAACCCACACCTTGCAAGCCTGGTCTTAACCCACACCTTGCAAGCCTGGTCTTAACCCACACCTTGCAAGCCTGCTCTTAACCCACACCTTGCAAGCCTGGTCTTAACCCACACCTTGCAAGCCTGGTCTTAACCCACACCTTGCAAGCCTGGTCTTAACCCACACCTTGCAAGCCTGGTCTTAACCCACACCTTGCAAGCCTGGTCTTAACCCACACCTTGCAAGCCTGGTCTTAACCCACACCTTGCAAGCCTGGTCTTAACCCACACCTTGCAAGCCTGGTCGTAACCCACACCTTGCAAGCCTGGTCTTAACCCACACCTTGCAAGCCTGGTCTTAACCCACACCTTGCAAGCCTGGTCTTAACCCACACCTTGCAAGCCTGGTCTTAACCCACACCTTGCAAGCCTGGTCGTAACCCACACCTTGCAAGCCTGGTCTTAACCCACACCTTGCAAGCCTGGTCTTAACCCACACCTTGCAAGCCTGCTCTTAACCCACACCTTGCAAGCCTGGTCTTAACCCACACCTTGCAAGCCTGGTCTTAACCCACACCTTGCAAGCCTGCTCTTAACCCACACCTTGCAAGCCTGGTCTTAACCCACACCTTGCTAGCCTGGTCTTAACCCACACCTTGCAAGCCTGGTCTTAACCCACACCTTGCAAGCCTGGTCTTAACCCACACCTTGCAAGCCTGGTCTTAACCCACACCTTGCAAGCCTGGTCTTAACCCACACCTTGCAAGCCTGGTCTTAACCCACACCTTGCAAGCCTGGTCTTAACCCACACCTTGCAAGCCTGGTCTTAACCCACACCTTGCAAGCCTGGTCTTAACCCACACCTTGCAAGCCTGGTCTTAACCCACACCTTGCAAGCCTGGTCTTAACCCACACCTTGCAAGCCTGGTCTTAACCCACACCTTGCAAGGTTAATCATAATCCTCCCATGAACAAAAAGCCTAACCTAGGCCCGTGTGGCCTGAAAGATTTCCTTCATAAGCCTTTTCGTGTGTGTAAGTCTTGTTTCCTTGTCCACCAATAAAGTCTATAAATCAGCGACAAAAACATTTGTAATGTACAAACACAAATTGTGATTGAACAACAATTTTTAAACAAAATGTTAAAAAGTGTTTCTATTATGGTAGGAAAGACAAAGAGAAGTGAGAAGCAACATTGATTGTCTTGCAGCAGACAAGAGCGAGGGAGAGTGTTGTTGTGGGCGGGCATTATCTTGCTCCCACAACACCATGCTCGACCAAATTACCTTAATTTAATGTGGTGTTAGTTCCCAGTGGCCCCTGCCTGCCCTTCCTCGTGATCAGGGCCCCCTACACCATGCCCCTTCCCTGCTAAGGGGGCCCCTCCATACCCAGATCCCCCCAGTGCCCAGGGGTATGGAGAAATACCCCTGGGCACTGGGAGGGGAAC